TTTGGTTTTTTTTTTTTTTTTTTAAGGTAGTCCTTAGCCACTGCTTCTCAACTGGTGGCAGAATCATTGGTGTTTCAAAAAAAAAAAAAAAAAAACCACCACCATCAAGTCGATTCTGACTCATAGTGATGCTTTAGGACAGAGTGGAACTACACCACAGGGTTTCCAAGGCTGTAAATCTTTATGGACTCAGACTACCTCATCTTTCTCCCCTGGAGTGGCTGGTGGGTTGAAATCATTGACCTTTTGGTTATCAGCTGAATGCATTAACCACTATACCAGTGGAGCGCCTTCATTGGTGTTAGTGACAGGAAAATTATTTTTTTGTGTGAAACTCTCATACCTGCCTATTGAGGGCCAGCATCTGTGGCACCCAAAACACCTATACAATTTTCCAAACATTCTCTTGCTGAACAGTACATACTTTTCTCAGATAGTTGTCAATTTACTCCTTCAAAATGGGTTGTGATTACACAGCCTTTGACCCTTCCTGTTAGTGGAGGTTATGCTTTAATAAGAGACCCTATAATCCAGAAATAGCTCTATGACTCCCACCTTAAAAGTATCAAATAATGGTGGATTTTGAAAATAGGAAGATGTATTTCAGGGAGAATACTTCACCCAATACCCCTGAAATTATACCATTTCTAGACAATTAACTAACAACAACCACTGGTTGGCGAGGCTCTGATGATTGTTATGCACTAGCAAAACCTTAGAAATCCCTGGGTGCCTTAAAAGAAGCAAAGGAAGTCGCTGAGTTGCAGTCAAACAGTCATTGCTGTTATTCAAATGAACACATTCTCTCTCCCTGAGTAGACAAAGAATCTGTGTGTGCAGAGCAAGTATGGGGTTTTTTGGGGTAAATGACACAATGGCAGGTAGAAAGCGTCACATCATGTAGACAGGCTTAATGACCTACAGGAGCCAATTTACTCAATGGACCCTGAAAGAGTTAATGTAGCTTCAAAAAAATGAGCAATTAAGTTTCCTCACCAGCAAAATATGTCCCAGTGTAGTTCTCAGATCACCAGTAAAAAACCTCAGTTGAAGATTCTACCTGTGTGCTCAAACACATTCACTAATCTGTGTATTCACTTTCTGATTCTTTTCACCATGGACTAAACTTGAAGACTGCCACTGAATTTTCACTGACAATGAATACATACTGGAATGTTGATGACTTGGGCATATGGGAGTATGCTGACATGGGACACTTCTAGACAGAATAGTCATTCATTCCTTGAGCTCCTGCTGGATCAAAGATTCTTTGGCTAGGGCCACCACTATCTCCCCAAGAAAGTGTAGTTGGCAAGTGGTAAGAGGAGTTCAAGACTGGGAAAGAACAACCTAAAATCTAGCTGCTCATGATGAATGACATCCATATCCTGTGTTTTTTGTTGGTGTCTGTATTTATAAATTCCAGTGTTGTAGGACATGATCAAAGAGTAGACAAGACTGGTCTGTAAGAATCTATGTGGCAGGTAAAATTGCCTTTTCTGTTTCTGGCCTTCTCCCTTTTTGGTGCCCCTTCAGTTCTCTATTGACAATTGATATCTATGCTCTTTTCCTATAAACCAAGTTAAGATTACTTTTGAAAAGTCCAGGATAGTATACATTTCAGCAAAAACATAAAACTTACTGAAGAGTATTTTAGGCTATGAAACCATTTCCTCTTATTGGAATGCTTAAGTATATGCAGACAGCATTAGTGTTCATACAGGAGCTCTGGTAGCATAGTGGCTAAGGCACTTGACTGCTCACCAGATGGCTGGCGGTTCAAACCCATCAGCCACTCCTCGGAAGGAAGGTTGGGCAATCCTACTTCCGTAGTGATACTGCCTCGGAAACCCAAGGAGGGGTCGCTATGAGTCAGGGCTGACTCGACGGCACATAACAACAACAACAACAGCAAGATCAATAGCTACTGATTCTAAGACCTGTACATTCATTCATTTACAATTGTAACATTCATATGCAAATTTCATTCTTTGCTCTGAAGACAATCATATACAATCTTAAAAATGGACAGTAAATGTAATCTCAAATATCTTACTTCCCCATTTGAGAATGCTCTTTTCTTCTACTTATCATGCAGCTGACCTCTATTTTCATAAGCTATTTAATATCTCTCAAAGTAAAGAAGTCTTTGACCTTTAAAGGCTCTACTGCCCACATGATCCCTTAGAAAATGTAAGAATTGATGATACAAAACACTTTTTTTTTCACTCCACTTGAAGTTCATCAACATACTGTTAGCCTACCAAAAGGTCACCATTTTATAAATTATACTTTTCACAACAGAAAAAAAGAATAGCTTAATTGGTATTTTCTGACAGTTTCTTTGTTCAGTTATCATCAGTTAAGAACTAGGAAGAAAAATAACAATGGAAGAAAACCTAAAGATTTAATCATATGGAAAAATGTTATAGTAAATTAAAAAATAAATTAACAGCAAAACCATTTTTAAGTGGTTAAATCCTAGGCCAATACACAATTTGGTATTTCATGGTGCTGTATCCTTATCATTCTATTTATTTCCCATTAGAGTCTGTCTCTATCCTTCCCTCTCTCCCTTTCTCTAACTAATTTTAATTTCGTTATGAGATGAGAATGGAGATGGGGACATCCTCCACTAAAGGTGTTTCGCGTAATCTGGGTGGTTAAGGGTGGAGATCCAAACTGTGCTTGGTGCCCAGTAAATGGAGGGAAGATCATTTGCTAGAAAGGGGCAGAAAAAATGATTATCAGGAGGAAAAAATGGATGAAGAAGGTTGGGAGGAAAACTGATGGGAAGAAATGAAAGGGAATTCAAAGATTTTTAAAAATATCTTTGTATTATGGGGTTTTAATAAGGAGTTTACATATAGAAATATTTCAAGAAGGATGGCAATTTGATGTAAATAAACATGTTATATGGAAAGATACTTTTTTTTTTTCTTTTCTAAAGCAGTTCTTGAGTGGAATGGGTTAGAGGTTACAGTGGCATTATAAACAAGAAGTATATGAGGTAACTCCATCTATTAGTATAGCTATTGCTATTGAGTTGATACCAACTCAGAGCAACCCTATAGGACAGAGTAGAACTGTCCCATAGCGTTCCAAGGCTATTAACTTTTATGGAAGCAGACTGCCATATCTTTCTTCATGTGGCATTTTGATAACTGTGGCAAAAACTGATTTTGTTCTATTGCTACCAAGCAACTAGGATATAACTGAAAACACTACTGTGATTGAAATTTGATAAAATTCTAGTCCCAGAGTGAATGAGTGGACTCTGAAATGGTGATTTTGCCACCTGATTTGAGAGAAATGAGAAATGAGCACCATTATACAAAAAGAAGTTATCAGAATTGGCAACAGTATAG